TACTTGGAGAATCTAATGGGATCAGTTTACTCTGGAGTTTTTACTCAAACAACTAAATGCATTCACAGAGTACAGGGTGTTTGTATTTGAACTGACGATTTTTGTCTTACAATAAAAGCCACACACTCTCGAATGATAAACATAGTATAAACACAGAAAGATCGATCTCATTGTTAAGTAATCACACGAGAGCATTTAGAGGTCAGAAACTGTGGCATAAGATGCAAGTCAAAAAATCGTTTTAAGCTTTTCAATTTAAACTCACGATTAGCTATTGAAGTCGAGTATCTGAAATCATTCGTTAAAAGCTATGGCATTTCAAACGTTGGGAGTACAAACTAAAATACCCTGTATACATTTTGAGGGTTTAGTTTTTATTGACTTATCAATTTACATTTACAAGGAGGGATTTTTGGTTGAGTTTATTCAGGAAACTTTATTGAGACGAAAAGAGAAAATTTAAATTGGGAGAAAGTTGTATATTGTATATAAGGTAAAATTATTCGGTATCAAGATTATACAGTTCAATTGGATATGAAAATAAATCTTTACTTCGAGAAATATTATTTCGACAAAAATTGTCCGTTGAATCGATTCATTCATTATGAACCATTTGAATCCATGCGATTTTATCGGTTTTAAGTCCCTGTTGACACTGTTAAAAATGCGCACGGATTAGAAATGAATTTCCAAGCTAAACGTTTGAGATTTACAAAGAAGCTCTTTTTTACATTTGGAACTGAATTTAAAACTATACAGTTTGAGGTAACAATTATCAATTTAAATTGTTATCTAACCGATTGGGTCTTTTCTCGAGTAAAAGTCAATCTCGAAACTGGTTACCTCAGTAATGTATAAGCGCCATGGTCGATGGTCAAAAGGCAAAAAATGGCTTATCAGTGAATTCTTCGCTTTTTAGCATTGGCGATTAATGCAGGGAAATACGATAAAAGTTAACTCTGATTGAGAGTTAACTCTCTCAACGACCTCATTCTTCTTGGTGGATTTTCTCAAGGTGGTGCACTTTCCCTTCACACTGAACTTCGTTATTCTCAACCTTTCAAATAATTTCTCCATCATCAATTTTCAGTATTCAATCATCAACTTCTCCATTATGAATATTATCAATGTTTCTTTTACTCGATTCTACACAAAAGTTCTCCCCTATTGAATGTTTATCAATCGAAGTTGAGAACAAAAAATAAGAGTTAATTGCTGGTCTTTTCTGTTGAAACAAAAATCTAAAAATCTTAACTGCTCACTAAATGTTCACGTTAATCATCACAATCAATCTTCTCGATCTGAATGTTTAATATCACATGTAACCCAAATTCATCGATTCCTGGAAACACTGATTAGTATTCAGACTTCCTCTAAGTCAGTGCCAAGTCTCTAAAATAAGTCATTCGTTGAAAGTTATGACATTTTAAATGTCGTGAGTACAAATAAAAACACCCTGTATACTTTTTGAGAGTTTAATTTCTATTGACTTAACAATTTACATTTACGTAAATGGATTTTTGGTTGAGTTTATTCAGGAAACTTAATTGAGATGAAAACAAAAAATTTAAATTGGAAGAAAGTTGTATAAAAGGTAAAACCTTTCAATGTGAAGATTATGATTGAATTAAATTTCCAACTGAGTTAGTGATAAGTCGTTTCAACAGTTAAAATTTAAATTGTTTAACATAAAAAAATCATGGATCTCAATCTCCGTATCAATTTCAATTCTGTCTTGTTCATCATCATTTTCATTGGTCTTTTGTCATCTTTATCCTGTCAGAATTCTGATGGTCATGGTACCGATGGTGGTACTTTTCTTGCTGCTGGTGGTAATAGTGGTGGCCTTGGAATTCTTACTAGATAACTGGTCTTTGGGCTGACAATCAATCTAGAAGTGAATTAGAATTTATTTTTGTGTAAGATATCAACCTCATATCAATTAATTAAACTTCATTAATAGGCAAAAATTACAACTTATTTCATTTTAAGATTAAATGCTTCATAACTAATTAAATTTTCGTAGGAAATTAGTTTGTGATAGTAGTATGAAAACCTCCGCTTCTGGCTCAGAAGCGGAAACGGAAATGGGGGTGGGGTTCAAAGAATGTTCTAGAACGTTCCAGACAGTTCAATGAACTGTCTGGGATGACGTCAATAGTGACCTTGAAACCATCATTCGATGTCACTGTCTAGGATGACGTAAGCAATAACCTTGAAAAAATGACGCAATGCAAAATGATGCAATGCGAAATGATGCAATGTCGAAATGATGCAATGCGAAATGATGCAATGCGAAATGATGCAATGCGAAATGATGCAATGCAAAAATGATGCAATAATAATAGATATAAAAAGCAAAGGTCTTTGTTAGTTGATCATTAGTATCAAAATGTGGACAGATCAAGTTGTATTTAATTACGGTGCGAGTGGTCTAAAAGCCAATCTAATAATTAATATTGTGAAAAATGAAAAATTTTCAAATTTCACAGTGGAGATAAGTGAATGGGCGCATAGCCAGCCAGATGGATATGATGAAATTGATGGACCAAATTGGACTATTGAAATCTCTTTTGATACATTTAAACGTTTCAAAGCTCTGGTTGACCAAATTGATTATGACAATCTCCCTAATAAATTGGTATTTGGTCATGTTAAAGCAAATATGGAACTGATGAAACTATTGAAAAGCAAAGAGTTTTCAGATAAATATGAATCTTTCTTGATCGCATATGATCTAATATAAGAATAAAAATGATTAAAAACTATAAATACTTGTCACAAATTATTTAATCGGTCAATTATAAATCATGAGTGATCTAGTTTACGCGTTACTGCTTTTCCTCGCTCTAACCATTCTCATAATCTTTAGGTATTATTTCATCATCTCCTTTGTTCAAAATGAAAATAGCTAATCTCGTGTCATTATGGGACTATGGTCAAAAAATTCCTCTCAACAATCGAATGAAAAAATTCAATGCAGATGTAATAAAAAATGGTCTACAAACTCTACTCGCATTTGAATCAGGGAAAATAATCGCCACAGGATGTAAAACAATAAAACAAGCTCGTGTTCATGTTCAATCTGCTTATCCAGGATCTAAATTTATTCGCATTGTTAATATTACAGCGTCGGCTTTTTTAAAAAGTAAACCTAATATTGAAAATCTACCTGGAGTGAGTTATGAGCCGGAAATTTTCCCAGCATATATTTGGAGAAAAGATAAATTATGCGTTGTTTATTATTCAACAGGAAAGTTAATTGTTACCGGGGCTAAATCATACAAAGGGTTGCAAGATATGTTCAATGAATTCAAAGCCTTGGTAGGTATAAAAAGGGAAGTCAAACGATCCGACAACTCATTATAAATCAATCGTTCAACATGTCAACATTAAACTGGTTATCGTTAAATCCAATTAAAATCAACAAGTACAATTTAACTATTTCTTGGGGTGAACTCAGAAATGGTGAGATTAGATGTGCAAGAGTAGATCTACGTGAATTCATCGAAGACAAACCTACATTGGCTGGTGTTAATCTAACCCGACGTGAGCTCAGTGGAATCGGTGATTTCTGTAATTCGAAGATAGACGACATTGGTGCCACAGAAACAATAGAAGAACTAACAATCGAAAACAATGACAATGGAATTACTTTATCTAAAAGGAATCGGAGACTCTGTATCGATAAAAATATTGTTCCAACAGTAATTGCTCTAATTCCCGGTGTTGTTTATTTGATGGAAATGCTATCACCTGTCATCTATTCATCAAGGACCCTCAAAGGCTCATTGTTTCTTGCAGATGTGTTTATCCTAGCAACACTGATAAAGGAAACTGGTCGTATTGATCAACCTTGGAAAGAAGAGGAGATGATCACCGAAGGTAAACTAACGAAGGAAAGCTCTAATCAACTCATAACCAATTCTGATCAAATATGGCGAGACTATGCAAGTAATTACATCAACACAATGTGGCCACGTGAACATATTCCCAAGGTTATCTTTATGAAAAAACTCAACGGTGATTTTTTGAAAGGTTTGGTTGATGCTCACACTGAGAATCCCGCCCTCTTGCGGTCTTTACTGTACATGAATCAAATGTTTAGTATAAATAAAGAAAGTCAATGTTAATAGACATCATTTAATCATCATGGAGTATATTTGTTGTTACTTTGATGCTCAAGGTTTTTATTATAATGACAAGTTCTATCCTCGTGAGTTTGCTATCCATAACAAGACGGGTACTAGTGTATTCAGTGTTGATCATGGTATCAAGTACCAAGACCTATCTTGGTATGAAAAACGATCAGCCTCCCACTGCATGCGAAACCTTCACGGTTTGCCGTTCGATGCCAAGCGAGGAATTAGTCTCACCGCTATGAAGACTCTTCTGATTACGTTTTATGAGGCTAATGTTAATCCTGATCAATATCTAGTGGCATGTAAATCAAAAGAATCAGAGTCAATTCTAAGAGCCTTTGGTATTCCAAGAATCAATCTTGAACGACGAGGTGGTAATTGGAATTCATTGGAAACCAGTTCTACCCCTTGTTCTTTCCATAATGGTCCAGGTAAGTGTAGTTTAAATGCCGTAATGGGAATGAGCAAGTGGGTCGAAAAGGGTGGAAATAAACCTGATCTAATTGACTTTAAAAAGAAAGATTGTTCACCAAGAAAAGAAGACAAAGATCATCGAGATGGATGGCCGGACAGCTATGGGATTCTTGTCTAATTTGTATAAGAAATTCTCTGACTAAGGGTAGAGAGGATCAAATGCACCCCTTTCTCACCAACACTATCATACCCTTTCACTCCAACACTTGCATCAAACTATCATTCTCACATACAATATCAGGTACCAGGTGCAATCAATCCTCCCTAAAAGCCCCTAGTCAAAGACCCGACTTTTGGTTAATCTTTGAGGAGCGTTTAAGAAGTTGTTTTATTAGTTAATTTTTTAATTAAGTATCTAAGAAATTCCAATGTTTAATTCAAATTTAATGTTTATTGTGCTCAAAAATAAAAAGGCTTAACGTTCGATGATTCTTTCGTTCGTAATTTTATGTTTAGAAGTACAATGATTATTGAACCCATCAACAATTCTTCTTGGTATTCGATCATCGAGTCCTCTGCATGGATCGTTGACTACTAGTCTTGCCCATGGGTCCTTGCGTGGAATATTGTTAATATCTCGAGAGTTAATTTTATCATATCTTATCCTATCCTTACACACGGTAGCAAATCTATTAGCTGAGTCACTGCGACCAAAAATATGACGACGAAGGTGATCTGCTCTGGTTTCGGTTGTTTTGCAGTAGCCACATTCATATAAATAAGGGTTTTTTTCTACAAAACTTTTGTGGAATTTTTCTGCGTCCTTGCGGAATATGACTTTTTCTCTCTCTTCTGCACTCAAATCCTCATATTTACGACGTTTTAACTGCGCATCATTGGTATCGTCATAATCAATCATGTCTTTTTTTGTTAGAAGTTCATCCTTATACTCATTTCTATAGTAATCTTCACCTTCATATTCAATGATTTCAGTCACGTATGTTTGAGCAAAAGACAGATTCCGATATTTAACAATACATCCTTTTCTTGTCTAATTAAATATCAAAGAGAAATGGTTAGAGAATTCAGTTTGCTATGAGAAATATAGACTTACGCTTGTCCCAGATGATTGTCGACAAACCAATTCAGCATAACCTCCATGGTATTCGTCCTCGTCTTCATCTTCACTTAGTGAATTTTGCGATGTTGATGTTCCACTTTCTTGATTAACGGTATGTTGATTTTGTGTGTTAGAGCCTAAAAATCGTACGAGAATAGAAGAGTTGATTAAGTACTTGTATAGATAAATTGACCTCAAGTCACAGGCCCAGGTTGAAATTGATTGAAACTCATACTCAGAGTTAGTACTAATATAAACTATCATTCATCATCATAAGCATCTTTCGCTCATGAAATTTGCATAATCCTATTGTTTCATACATGAAAACCAATGGTAAAGTATAAATTGACCTCAAGTCACAGGCCCAGGTTGAAATTGATTGAAACTCATACTCAGAGTTAGTACTAATATAAACTATCATTCATCATCATAATCATCTTTCGCTCATGAAATTTGCATAATCCTATTGTTTCATACATGAAAACCAATGGTAAAGTATAAATTGACCTCAAGTCACAGGCCCAGGTTGAAATTGATTGAAACTCATACTCAGAGTTAGTACTAATATAAACTATCATTCATCATCATAAGCATCTTTCGCTCATGAAATTTGCATAATCCTATTGTTTCATACATGAAAATCAATAGTAAAGTTTAAATTGACTTCAAGTCACAGGCCCAGGTTGAAATTGATTGAAACTCATACTCAGAGTTAGTACTAACATAAACTATTATTCATCATCATAATCATCTTTCGCTCATGAAATTTGCATAATCCTATTGTTTCATACATGAAAATCAATAGTAAAGTTTAAATTGACTTCAAGTCACAGGCCCAGGTTGAAATTGATTGAAACTCACACTCAGAGTTAGTACTGATATTTACTATCATTCATCATCATAATCATCTTTCGCTCATGAAATTTTCATAATCCTATTGTTTTATACATGAAAATCAATGGTAAAGTATAAATTGACCTCAAGTCACAGGCCCAGGTTGAAATTGATTGAAACTCATACTCAGAGTTAGTACTAATATAAACTATCATTCATCATCATAATCATCTTTCGCTCATGAAATTTGCATAATCCTATTGTTTTATACATGAAAATCAATGGTAAAGTATAAATTGACCTCAAGTCCGAGGCCCAGGTTGAAATTGATTGAAACTCATACTCAGAGTTAGTACTAATATAAACTATCATTCATCATCATAATCATCTTTCGCTCATGAAATTTGCATAATCCTATTGTTACATATATGAAAATCAATGGTAAAGTATAAATTGACCTCAAGTCCGAGGCCCAGGTTGAAATTGATTGAAACTCACACTCAGAGTTAGTACTAATATAAACTATCATTCATCATCATAAGCATCTTTCGCTCATGAAATTTGTATAATCCTATTGTTTTATACATGAAAATCAATGGTAAAGTATAAATTGACCTCAAGTCACAGGCCCAGGTTGAAATTGATTGAAACTCACACTCAGAGTTAGTACTGATATTAACTATCATTCATCATCATAATCATCTTTCGCTCATTTTTAAATTCTATCATTCAATATATTTTTAAAAGATAACTATTCACCTTGCTGCGCAGAGCTTCTCGTCCTGGTCTGGATTCCATATACTGCGTTGGCTGTTTGTAACCTCTCACTTTGTTGAATCTCTTCACTCGCACCATCAGAAGTAGATCTATTCATACCTTCAGAGTCTTCCATTGTTACATCCATAATCGTCCTTTGTGGATAAGATGAACAAATATCAGTAGCCTGTTGCTGTTGGGGTATTATTTGTTGATTAACTTGTTGAGGTTGTTGAGACTGTTGCAGTTGCTGAGACTGTTGTGGTTGTTGAGACTGTTGTGGTTGTTGAGGCTGTTGCGGTTGTTGAGACTGTTGTGGTTGTTGAGGCTGTTGCGGTTGTTGAGGCTGTTGTGGTTGTTGAGACTGTTGTGGTTGTTGAGGCTGTTGTGGTTGTTGAGGCTGTTGTGGTTGTTGAGACTGTTGTGGTTGTTGAGGCTGTTGTGGTTGTTGAGGTTGTTGTGGTTGTTGAGGTTGTTGTGGTTGTTGAGGCTGTTGCGGTTGTTGAGGCTGTTGTGGTTGTTGAGACTGTTGTGGTTGTTGAGACTGTTGCGGTTGTTGAGACTGTTGCGGTTGTTGAGACTGTTGTGGTTGTTGAGACTGTTGTGGTTGTTGAGACTGACGAGGTGATGTATTCGTTCTCTTCTTATTTTTTTGTATATTTCTCATTCTTTGTTGAGATGAGGGACGTTGAGGAGTCCCGAAAACCATCCCTAAGAGAAATATATAGAGAAAGAGAGAGGGAGAATAATATAATAATGATTATGTAATATATATATATATACACTCATAGAGAGAGAGAGAGAGAGAGAGAGAGAAACAAACCGAGAGAGAAAAAAGAAAGAGAGAGAGAGAGAGAGGAATAAACAAAACCGAGAGAGAGAGAGAGAAAGCTATACTAGTACATACTACTGTACTACTCAGTATCAGTTTTCTTATGTAGTATGTACTAGTATCTAGTATCTACATAAGAAAACACACACACACACACAGAGAGAGAGAGGAATAAACAAAACCGAGAGAGAGAGAGAGAGAGAGAGAGAGAGAGAAACCGAGAGAGAGAGAGAGAGAGAGAGAGAAACAAACCGAGAGAGAAAAAAGAAAGAGAGAGAGAGGAATAAACAAAACCGAGAGAGAGAGAGAGAGAGAGAGAGAGAAATAAAGAGACTTACCGATTGAAAATAAAAAAACAAATGGTAATTTGACAATAAACATTTTACAATTATATTAATAAATTCAATTAAATTGATTAAATTGAAAAATAACAAATTATAATTAATAATAATAATTGATTCACTTAATTTAGACCTTTATCATAAATTTAAACAAATTGGAATGAGATGAAAACGTAAACAAATGTTATTTGGTAAGAAAAAAGTTAAATAACGTTGCTCAGCAACAGCATAATACAGCGGGTTTTTTGATTTTTACACAAAAAAATCGATTTTTTAATTAAAAATTTTCATCAAAATTTTTTCCCCCACTTCCGCTTCTGGCTGAGCCAGAAGCGGAGGTTTCATTACTACTTGTGATGATATTAAATAAAATTTGAAGTTAGATAAATAAATTTCTTTCTGTAAATCATATTAGATTGACATTTTTTCACTCCCAACCAATTTTTCATATTGAGCTGTGGGAGTAACAATTTAGAATTAGGAAAAAGATGAACAATTAGAAAAAAATAATAGAAAATTAACTTTTCCGATCTAATTTACTTTCGATTCTAATTCGTTTCAATAATATTCAGTCCAACAAGATCATTCCTCGAAGAAAAGTACCCGTTGTAATGATAACCGATGAGCTTTCGATTCGCTCTCCAGTAGATGTTATAACTCCTTTACAAGTGTAACCATCGCCTTGAGGTTCAACAATTAAATCTTCAATTGAAGCCTTTCACCGATTTTCTGTCTTAAAGAAATTGAGAAGTCAATTGGAAATATGGACTGAGTATGGAGAAGGTACAGAATTGGCTGTTTATTTTTAGACACTTTAATTTGTTGTTAACTTTTGAACTTAGATTATTATAAATTATCTAAAATATTGGATTGTAGATAAGATTTGGGAGATCATTTTAGTAAGTATTAAAATGTTTACCTTGAAGAGAATTACGAGAATTCAATTTAGACTGTAATTTTACATTGAAAATAATATTAATAATTTTTTAAGATTTTTTCAAATTTTTTGGTTTTTGGCCTTATTATGTAAAAAATAGCGCTAATATTATGATTTTAATTTTAAATTATTGTTAATAACTAAAAGGATAATAAGTAATTGAATTTTCATGACATTGGCCTGAATAGTCTCTGAGTACCAGGCCAAAACCCGTCATTGTCCATAGACTCCCATGTTAAATTCAATCTGGTGAAACTTTTTTATTTCTTTTCCGATTTTGATCAAAAGGGTCTTAAATTTATTGTAATAACATAATTAATCAATTTAATTAACAATCAAATCAAAAGAAAACCTCTATTAATTATGGTCGAGGTGTACAAAAAATTTTGTCCCATTTTTTTTCTCAATATTTGTTGCAGTCTGATTTCTGCTCTTTTAAAAAAATTTTCCTTTTAATTTTTACATTTTGAAAACACCGTGAATAACACCGTGAATGGTTGACACAAAATATCGCATATTGTTTATCTCCTTATTTACTCTCTAATTAGCCCTTAAGTGTCAAAAACACTTTCTTTTATATTGCTTTCTCCTTTCTTAAACATATCCAATCTTCTTAGACCTTTTTCTTTTCTTAAGATTAACACCGTGAAAACACCGTGAAAACACCGTGAATGGTTGACACAAAATATCGCCTACGTGATGCGTAAGCGATCTTAACGAGTTAATTAATTTCATCCTCTTAATCCTCTTTTCTTTATCCTCTCGACTTTTTCAACAATCTTTTCCAGATGTTTAAGCTCTTTGACCTTAAGGTCACTAATGGTCATTCTTTCGACTATATAAACCCTCTTCAGTTTCTCTTGAAAATCACTTAATCTTTTGTATCGATTGAAGTCAAATTGACAGTTTCATCCCTAAAATAACCACATATATTCCACACATTTTTCATCATTTTTCATTTTCTTTGTTTTAATAAATAAAATTCATTTGTGTGTTCACTTTTATATTTGAATTAAATTTCTTCCCGAGGAACACTACAATATTCAAAAAATCTGACTGCATATACTGAATTCCTGACCGAATTTTTATTAATTAAACTTCTTCATTCTTATCTAAATGACTATTTAAAACAGAAAAGTAAAGTCAAAATGATCTATCTTTTCATTCATAATCGAAAAACTAGTGTACGAAAAATTTTGTCACCCATTATAAACTAAGATGTGTTCACTAGAATTTGACAAAAAGTTTGCGTTATTTTTGTCGTTCTTTCTGATTGTTTACAATTAATTAAATTATACCAAATGATAGTTTAGCTTTTCATCTAAATACATGAAAAATTTCAAAAAATTTTGATAAAAGGTTTTCGAACAATTAAATTATTTTAAAAAATTAAAATTTTTGTATGTTCTCTATGTAAATCTCTACGAGAAATTAACATGGTGAGTAAGAAGTAGGTACCAAGTGCGTTTTGTCAGAATTTTCAATTCAGCATATTTTTAAAACGCGATTTCATGATAACCTTTTACCTTTACCGTTTTTGATCATGACCACAGAGCATCTTTTGGTACTTTTAAAAATTCGATATGACCTTTGGTTCGCTTTAAAAGGCCATTAATTCGAAAAAAATGGTGAAAAATCCTATTTTTCGATTTTTTTTAAAAATTTAATTGTTCGAAAACCTTTCATCAAAATTTTTTGAAATTTTTCATGTATTTAGATGAAAAGCTAAACTATCATTTGGTATAATTTAATTTATTATAAACAATCAGAAAGAACGACAAAACTAACGCAAACTTTTTGTCAAATTCTAGTGAACACATCTTAACTTCGATTTAAACTCACGATTAACTTGCTATTCTCTAAAATCAGTGATTCATTATAAGTTATGGCATTTCTAACGTCATTAGTACAAATAAAAACACCCTGTATAATTTTTGAGGGTTTAATTTCTATTAGCCCAACAATTTCCAGTATATCTACGTAGATAAATTTTGGGTTTAGTTTATTCAGGGAACTTGATTGAGAAGAAAACAAAAAATTTAAATTGGAAGAAAGTTGTATAAAAGGTAAAACCATTCGGCGACAAGATTACAATTAAATTTCCAACTGAATTGGTGACAAGTAACTTCCAACAGTATAAATTTAAATTGTTTAATACAAAAAAACCGTGGATTTCAATTTCCGCATGGATATCAATTCTTTCTTGTCCTTCATCATTTTCATGAGCCTTTTGTCATCATTATCATACCATTGTTCTGGTGCCACTGATGATTCGCATGTAGATTGGTAGACATTTATCGATACCGATAATATCGCCCATCACTATTAAATCTTACTCCTGGTATGCTTGAGGCACTTGAAATCTAATTGGAAATGAAAATAAAATAATTTATAAAACATTGAACTGTTTTGATTGTTACAATTAGCTTACCGATGTTGGTCTTTGTTTAAATAATAATTCGCAGTCTAGTTCGAAGTCTCTTAATTTTTGAACTGGAATTCCAAATGTCGTGAATACAAATGAAAGCACCCTGTATACTGTTTGAGAGTTTAGTTTCTATTGACTTATCAATTTACATTTACGTAGATGAATTTTGGGTTGAGTTTATTCAGGAAGTTTTATTGAAACCAAAAAACAAATTGAAAGTAATAGAAAGTTGTATAACAGTTAGAAGGTGAAAACATTCGATATGAAGATTATAATTAAATTTACAACTGAATTAGCGACAAGTAACTTCCAACAGTCAAAATTTAAATTGTTTAATAAAAAAATCATGGATAGCAATCTTCGTATGAATTTTATTTCTTTCTTGTTCATCGTTATTTTCATGGGGCTTTTGTCATCTATATCCTGTTAGATTGCTGATAAAGGTGATCTTGTTAATTTGCTTGTTGATTTGCTTAGTAGTTTGCTTAGTGATTTGTTTGGTGGTTTGCTTGGTGGTAATCCAGGTGGTAATCGAGGGCTTAATCCACTATTATAAATATTAAATATACATGTATAATAAATGTGATTATGTGACATTGAATTTACAGCAAATTATGATAAGATTCAATGGTTGGTTTTGGTTGTAACAATTACCTAACTGACAATGTGAGTTAAAGGTAAATCAGCAGTATCTGGTCTCATGTAGAGTCTTAATTTGTGCTCGAGCTGTGAACATACGGTAAGGTTCAATTACTCCGACGGTTGTCAGGTCATCGATTAAAACGCCGATATACCTAATTGAACGGGGAACAATTAATGCCTCTTTTGATTGAGATTTTGAAGCTGCATTGATACCGGCGATGGTTCCTTGTGAGGCCGCTTCTTCGTAGCCCGTTGTACCGTTAATTTGTCCAGCAAGGAAAAGACCAGAGACTTTTTTCAATTCAAGGGAAGGTTCTAAATGTCGTGGATCAATGTGATCGTATTGTATTGAATAACCAAGTCGGATAACTTTAGCTTTTTCTAGACCGGGAATTGAGTTGATCACTTTAACTTGAACTTCGAATGGTAATCCATTAGTTTTGAACTTGACTTAAATCGAAAGTACGATGTTCAATTTAGTTGTTTGTTGTCTTAACACTATTCGCAAAGTTACCTGACAAACAAAAACTAACGAAAAAAACTTTCATGATTAA